TAGACCTTTGTAGTCATAAATTAGGCGGTGCCACGCCCAATTCCTTAGTCAATAACAATCTTATTTATTGTTAAGAGATTGTTGTAAGCATTAACTTGGAGTAAATTAGTGTCCTCAGTTTTTGAAATATCGCAGTTTTCGTATTTTTGAAATTTACCGTTATACGGGAAGGGGGTGTAATTTTATTCCGATTTGAATAATTTTCAACAAATTACTTTTCCATATAAGGTGCACCAGTTTTGGTCGAATTTAATGAATCGGTTAACGAGGTACTCATTTGTGGCCATAAGTGGGCGGCGCCACACCCATTATTCAAAAATTTATATTAATAAAATTTTCTGCAAAGTGATTATTGGAATCATCGATTTTGAGTGAATTAGCTTATTGATTGATTTGTCGATTATTGATTTATCGCTTTTTTCGTGTTTATTGCCCAATTTCAAATAGTTTGGTAAGGATTGGTGCAGCGGCTACTGAGATACGGCATTTCATCATAAGTGGGCGGGGTCACGCCATTTCCCTAAATTTCATAATAATATTAATTTTTACCATAATTCTACTTCACATACTAATTTTCAACAATTTACATTGAATATTTACTGAAATATCGTAGTTTTTGGATTTTTTCGAAAATACCGTACACGGACGGACGGACAGACAGACAGACATGGCCTCATCGACTTCTCTTTTCATTCTGATCATTTATGTATACATTTGCCTATATCTGTCTCGATTCGTTTTGTCTGTTACAAACAACCGTTATGTGGATAAAATTACAATAAAACGTCGATGATACTGCAAAACGTTCTATGTCACTTATTGCCTCTGGTGCTTAATGGATCTGCGAACTGTGTCTGATCGCTTCTGGCAATCGTTCATCTTCATCAGGCAAAGGTAAACAGTTTTGTCGTTCATTTATTTGGGTGTAACGATTTACAAATGCATTCCGGTGCAAGTAAGAGGCCATCTAAGTGCCAAGGGTACTAATAAACATAGACCGTTTTGCAGTATCGCCGACGACATGTGCGCCCGCTTAAACATATTTATGTAAATGTTTTTTCTACAAAGAAAAAAATTTTTGAATTGTTTTCCTTGTGTGTTGTTTGCATAGAATAACTTTACAGTACGCATTGGTTGTTTCAATTTGGCAGAGTTTGAATCCTCGTGTTCAAGATCATGAAAAACGCTACTTATATCCTTTTATTTTACTTCACTTTGTTATATTTTTTAACTTAATTTTATTTGATCGAAATATTTAAAATTTGTTTTAAAATTTTTTTAAGCTTTTGGCCATTTACCAAAAACCATTGCAGGCGTACTTTCCAGCTCCGGGTTTGCCAAACCACATTTCTAATTTCCTTAGTTAAATGTTCAAGGTCGGATAAGAAGCTTCCCCGTGCTAACTAACAAATATAAATATATGTAAATATTTTCATTTGTTTGCTGTACACTTAAAAGCAAATCGTAACAAAGTGCAAATATTTTCCAGTTACGTGCGGCGCTCAAATCACTGCCGGTAGCCAAATCGTTTTGTGCCTTTCGCAGCAGGAGGGGGGGGGGAGAAACCTGGCAAGTCAAAATATCACACTACTCACTTGTGTAGCCAACAAATGAAATTTACGCAAAACACATACGCACCACCACCGACAAAGTTTATTATTCATGCCGAAGGCGTTTCGTGCAACAATAATAGCAAAACACGCAGCACAACAGCGTAAGCCAAGACCTGTTTGGGCTGGGCCGCCCACAGTTTTGTGTCCGTTTCTTTTTTTTGCCACAAAAAAGTTTGCACGTGAAATATTACAATCGAATTATTTTGGTTAGAAAAAACGTCAATGCCAAAAAAATTAAATTGAGAATAGTGGCAAGAAGTGTCACACGCTAGCTGGATGGAGCGCGCAGCGACCGCAACATATCGCACTTTCAACTTTAGTAACTTTGGCACAAACCGAATTTGTTTTGCGGCTGCAACAAACAGTCAGCATCAAATATTTATGCCAAGTTTACGCATTTCGGTTTGGTGGAGTGCTAAGTGCAGAAGAAGGAAATTGCGTGCGTGTGTGTGCCTGTTTGATACAGCCGTTATAGTAGCACTGAGTGCGGATGCAAATAATCGAACTCACAGCTAACAACTTCCACTGCCTCCATAGGTTCAACCCTAATGTGCTACGTACACTTACACACATAAAATATACATATGTATAATAAGGTATGTGTGTGTTTATGTATAACTACTACTTAGTTGGCAAATGTGTAAATCCACGCATGGATTTCTGCCAGTGAGTGCCACTTCCTTGAGCCAACACTTAGCTGCCACAAAGCAGTCAACTGCTAACAGTGCACCGCCTTCATGTCGATTTGAGTGCATTGAAAATATCTTTGGCAGAGTTTCAAGCCTTGTAACGATATTCGAAAGATTAAGCTACAAATTTACTTTTATCTTCCACACAGTGGTACTGCAGTGTTGCATTGTGTACCACACCATTGTATCTGTTATTTGTTTTACAAGTGGATGCCACAGCAATTGAGTGTGCTGTGTGCGATGAATACCGACTGCCTTACCAAAATTGATACCACTTTAAGGTTTTCAGATTATTTTTTTTTGAGCACACAAAATAAATAAACTATAAGAAAGTATTTAGTGGAAGTAGCGGAAAGCTGGTTGAATAGTGGATTGTGTGGTCGCCTAGTTATCCGTCCCACTAACTAAACGTTTTCTCTGATGTCACTTTCCACAAATAATAGGGTTTACAGTTATGGCACCAGTGTTATAAGCACAGTCTGCTTCCTGTAAAGAGAGCTAATCCTAATACTGTGGCTTTGAACGGTGCTGTAGTCTTAATGGAATACTTATAGGCGTCTGGACATGCCATGACAAAATGCTTCCTTTCAGCAGACTGACGGATTTTATCGAAAAATTATCTCTCTGTTTCAGATTTTTCGCTGGGGCCATTGGGCGGCTAGGAGAGAATTTACCGTGCCGTCCCATCAATGAAGATTAAGCTATTAATTTTGTACTATGCCGAAAAACGTAGGTAGAGCTTCCAAGCGCTCAGGCATGGAGCCCCAATGCACATAAAAATAATAATATTTTGCCTGCCGAGGGGAGGACCTGTAAAAAAAAAAAACTTCTCATATTCAAAACTTGCGCTGGGAAAAATTAGTATTTAGAAATACATAGCAGTGCAAACAATGTTTAAATATTTTGGGTAAAATTTAGAAGTCGTTTCTACAAGGACAGTGGCCTATTACCAAAATGGTGTTGGAAAAATTCAAAACCGTTTTTTCAGTCAATGAAGGTTTGGAGGCAATTATAAGCGTTAATAAAGTAGTAGAGGGCGTGGTCCAATACCCTTGTTCAATAATCTCCAATTAAATTTGGCACCACCTATATCAGCTCACGTCTAGCGCACGTTTAGTATGGTTTAGGCAACTACCTAAAGCGCCTAGATGTATGCTATACAGCCCTGTATGCTCAAAAATTTTCATAAATTTCCTTCATGAAATTTTTGCGTATGCACTTCTCAATTGCCATAGAATAAAATTTTCTCAAGTTTGGTGACTAAAAAATTAATTTTTTTTGGGTTTCTTGTAAAATAAACATTTCTAAAATAAAAGTGTTTTATTTGCCTATTTTTGTTTTTTAGATCCATTTTTTGTTACCTATTTTTAAAATTTTAGGGCCTTTTCCTACATATTTTATATATCTAAAATTAGTTAATCATTTATTTGCCCTATTGTAATAAAATTTTAGACACCCTGCTGTCATTTTAGTTTTAGCCAATTAACACATAATTATTTTCGAGCCTAATCGAATAGAAGCGTGAAACATATGTATGCACGTATGCTTTTACAACAGCCAAATTACAACCAACAACAACATTTTAAATACGTAATATAGAAGTTATACAAAAAAGATCCGAAAACACCAAAATATGCACTGGCTGTCAAAATTGACAGAACTATAAAAACGGCAATTACACGCTAATCGACTACAACAAATTACCGCGCGCGCGCAAAAAATTATTTGTTGTTACATTGGGCATATTAGAAAACCATTAAATATAATTACGCAAATTACAACGATGAAATTGTTTTTTCATTTCAAATGCGTTTGTTGGTTCGCTATCGGTTATCACTTCAGCCTTTTGTTTGTTATTTCCACGCTGCTTTTTGCTTTCATGCTACCAGCGTTTGTCGATTATTTTGCACTTGTAATGATTATTGTTCTTTCTGGCCTTAAGCAATTTTTCAAATTAAAAGCGATGGAATTAATTCGATAGACAATTAAATTGTATTGGACAGTGGAAAGTGGAATGAGTACGAGGCCTTGACGTTGCCATAAGCTGTCGACTTAATAAAGTGGCAGTAGAACGAAAAAAAACGCTTACAGGTAAAGTGTTAATTGGCGACTAAGCAGAGCTCCTGCGGTAAAAAGGATACCCTTGACATTGGCTTTATTGATTCAGTTTGCTTATTTACAACTGAACTGTTTTCTGTATAGTCTGGCGTGGCTGGTGATAAGAAATGAGTGACATGAGACGGCATGCAAAGTGATAAGCGATGCCTTCAAATTGTAACTGCCGGTTGACTTTTTATTTATTTATTGGTAACTCAACGGAATGAAAATGGCATAACAGAGCAATAAAAAATACGCATGAATTGACCAATGATTGGCGGTCGTCTATAGGGCGATCGATATGGCCACAGCTGGCTTGAATGCATCCGTGTATGTAGTTTAGTAAATACATAGATATGTATGTTTGTATTTGCTTTTGAAACCAAGCGTTTGTATGGGTATATCGCTTTGTTGATTTTATTTGTTGTGTTACTTTTTATGCTGGCGTTTATTTTTTTGCTAGTATTTGTTTATTTCTCCACACCACTCATGGCGCAATAAACAAAAAATAATAAAAAAAAAGATTTTTTCCGAAAAACGTTTAATTTCAATGCAAAAATTTTTTTGTATGTATGTATAAGCAAATTACAATTTCGCCTACCTGAAAGCCATCATATGTCCATGAACCGAATTTCATCTCACAGCGTTGATCATCGAATGGAAACCATGTGATGTCGATTTTACAGGTGGATTTGAAAATACCGGGCGGCACATAAAGACACGAGCCATTATTCCTTACCACAACGTTGGTCGCGTAGGTGCCATCGAAGCCTTCGTCCGCACTGCAGGTATAGAAAGGAGAGAGAAACGATTATAAATGTAAGTTGTGTTGCTTTATTAAAATAGTGTGCAAAAGAACAAGCAAATCAGCATTTTTAAACTGCAGTATAAACACTAAACACAAAAAACAATAATCGCTAGATTTTGGTAATAGTTCTTGCTATTTTTTTATTTTTTTATTGAGAAACAATTTACTGTTGAACCCTAAAATAAATTAATAGGCAATTGGAGATACATCCGTATATATGTATGTAGGTTTTATCAAATACAATTTTGAAAATTTAGTTGTAAGTAAAAATGAGTAAAGAAAAATGATGGCTTGCTATTCGGCTAGGAAACTTTTACCAAAGTATGCTTATTAAGCTGCAAGTCTCACGACGGTTTATTTTAATTTGGTGTTCAGATTTTATGTTAGTAAAGAATTTTTTCAAACCTTCCTAAACAGGAGACTCTTCATCGACCGGCTAAAAAGAAGCAGTGGGCTTTAATTTTCCAATCTGTTATTGTCACTGCAGAAGAGGCTACGAGAGGCTTAAAGCCAGGAATGCGAAGAGATTGCGATGCTTAAAAAAAAGCACCAATTAAATGGTTTCAACACCGGGGCTGGAGATGGAGATTTATCGAAGAAAAAGAAGAGATAATGTTTGGTGCTCTCCAGCTCTCCCTCGTCACAGCAACTGCGACAAAAATCGTTGCTGGGGTATTCTAACTTTTCCCCGTGTCGCCCATCAAACAGTGTCCGGTTATATTACCCCGACTACTAATCTGAGAGAGGAGCGGTCCAACGACGCTTAATTGAAAAGACTATTCGACTCGGCATCTATGGATGGACAATGAAAGAAACAGGACAGTTCCACTTCTCATGGTGAAATCTTTCTCTAATTTGAAACTTTATTCCACATTTTCTACCGCTTTCGAGTTTTCTCTGTATGTCCGCTTGTTGTGGTGTAATCAAGTTGAGAAAGTTAAACAAAGAATGCTGTATGGAGTAACAAAAAACAAAAAACTTATTGACAATACAAATGCGTATTTGGTTTGTCGAGATTGTAGAACTCTCTGTGCTGTTAAATCTGGTAATAGAAGTACACAAGGTGAGAGACAAAAGACGAAAGACAAAAGCGGAAAATATAACTAGATAATTACTCGAAAAGTTTCAACTACTGCTTTAATGAAGCAGAGTGTGTGAAAAACAAAGAAACCAAAAAAAACTGAAAGAAATAGAAGTCTTATATAAATAGTCGAAGAGTTGCAGATTTTTAACTTACTGAAGTAATGCAAACTAATGGTGTGCTAGAAATACGAATGCGAAAGGCAATATGATATGAATAAGGCAATGAATGTGAATATCAACCTGAATATGAAAATATAGAATTACTAAAATTGGTTTTGAATAAACTTGGTAGTGATTACATAGAAACATGGATCGAAAATCATTTTCGGACTGGCAGCAGATGAACATGTGTGCATATATATTTATTAGGGTGGACCGTAAAAATATCAACATACAATAAAACGACATTTACGAAAATATCATAATTAAAAAGAAATATTTAAAAAAATTTAATTTTTTTTAATCACAAAAATTGGGACAAAATTGACATTGACCAGCTACAACTCAGCGAGTTTATGAATGTATATGAATAAGTTTCAGTAATATGTCTTATAAGATTTCAAGCCAAGATTTTGTCGACTAAAAAAGCTTAAATATTTTAAACCTTGTTAGCGACCCCAAAAAAGTTGTATTTTTAAGACCCACCCTAATATGTATACGCTTATTCGAATGCAAAAATTTTAAGATTCTCAAAGAATTAGGTATATACAGTGACGAGCAAAACTGTAACATGATGTAACACTTTTTATTTCAGCCACCGCTATCTTTCATAGTTCTTACGACTTTCATACTTTTGTTGTATATTCTTATTGGTACACCCCTACTCCCGCTCTCATACCGATTTGAGGTCAATCCAACAACAATAAAAAAACCTGGAGACAAAAATGTAAGTTAAGGCAAATGTTACAGTTTTGCACTCACTCTCAGTTTTGCATTTTACAGTTATCTTTTGCTTAGTTGGAAGTCAGATGATTTTTTTTTGTATTGTAATTTATTCAAGAAGTGATCACCAATAAATAATATGGTGAATCAGGAAACATAAATGTAAATAATAGATTTACTGCGAAAAGGCGGGACCGCAGGGAAAGTGGCAAAAAATTGTGGAGTTTGTCACATGAAAATGTTTAGACTGAGAAAAAATATAGCCTAAAGTGTTACTAAGGACAAAGGAAGTCTGTCAAAATATATTACAGTCCGATATCTTGTGAACTTAGTAGCAAGTAGCGCTGCAGGCACTACTACAGAAGCGCTTAAGGTATTAAAATTGAATGCAAATCAGTAGATAGTGAGGCGAAAAATTGCAAAATTGAGCAAAATGGATCATAAAAGAAGAAAAAAGCAAATTTGATCAAAATACATGTGCGAGTGTGGCAGTGTTTTGCTGCATCGCACGAAAACCGGACCGTTGCCTATTGGGATATGTTAGGCCTTACAGAATGCAATAAAAAACACATTTTTAGGATTTAATTGAGGGTTAATTGGACTGACAGGACTAAATTAATCGCTTTCAATCAGATGGCCGGGCATGGTATTGGATCAAAGGCCCAAATTAAGCCTAAGCGCATCATGTAAGGCAAACTGTGAATCACAGTGGTCGGTCAATAATAGTTTGGGGTTGTATTTCAAAAATATTGTTGGTCCGTTAGTACGCATTATGCGTAAGGAACAGTATCTGTTCATATTTTAACAAAATTTGAACTATGTAGTCGAAAAAATTAGAGTTTCTGCTGAAAAATCAACCAAAACACACTGCACATGTTCGCAAAGACTGGAACAAAAGCAGAAATTTGCTAATTTGAAATGACCTCCACAATCCGAGGACATGTATCTCATCGAGAATTTGCGAAATCAACTAAAATCGCATCTTAATAAGTATCCAAGTCCGTCCAATGGAGTACATGAGCTGTGAAAGCACACCAAGGATATATGGGAGGCTATACCTCCAGAATTTTTACAGACATACACATTAGGTATGCCAAATTGCAACCAGGAACTAAATATAGCAAAAGCGTACTGAACATTGTGTTAATAATTCTTTTTTTTGTGTGAAAATTGGCAAAAAGTTATTAAAAATATATGAGTGCAAAAGTGTAACATTTGCCTTAATTTACATTTTTGTCTGCTGGTTTTGTTAATGTTGTTGAATTGACCTCAAATCGTTATGCCAGAGGAAGCAAAGATGTACCAATAAAAATATACAACAACAGTATGAATGTCGTTAGAACTTGGAAAGATAGCGACAGCTGAAATAAAAAGTGTTACTCCATGTTACAGTTTTGCTCGTCACTGTACATACATATATGTATGTGCCTTTTTGGAATGAAGTTTCCTTATTCTGAAGATTTTTCGCATACCTCCATTTGCCATTTTGCTTGTCTGAAGAAGTGGGTGCCAAACGAGCGAATGAATGAATAAACGAATGAATAGTTAGAAGCGAAGGAAACTGAAATGAAATGACATCGCTCCAGGCAACTTCAGCTGCTTCAACTGACAACAATAACTACAATAATATCAAATAACTAGACGTACAATAGTTACGAAGAACAGCAATAAAAGCAAACAACCAAAATAGAAAAAATACAAAAAAAATACCAAAGCTGTTGTTGAAAACTACAAGTTACGAGTTTGTTGACAACAAAAAAAAAAAAACTAATGGAAATAATATTCACGACGAAGGTAGGTAGAGTGCTCATGAAGTGCAGAGACAAGACAAAAGTAATAACAACAGGAAGTTCATTTAATGCGACCGACGACAGAGCGAAACGTGAGTGACATGCAGAAAAGCAGAGACCGTACCGGTTATGCATTTTATAATAAAAGTCAAAAAATTAAAGTCATTTTTTGACTTTTATCATTTTGAGCAAATAATACCGATTATTTCTGCTTTTTATTT